GACATCAAATTTTGGGGTAAAAAAGTGCGTCTTATACACCGAAAAATACGGTATTTTGATTCTAGCATTCTGTTTATTTATACAGAAAAAAAAATTATTTACTAATAACAATCACACAACATTTTTTACATACACTAATGAATAAAGTCTTTCCATTGTTATATATACCAATTATCAGTGAAAATCTAATCACAGTATACTGACTGGCCATTTCAAAATGGCTTCCACCTTAATATCGGATGGTCTACATTTTTCTGCAATAATAATAAGGGTTAAGTGTATTATTAAAAAAAAAGAAACTTTTCCGAAAAAGGATAACATCTTTACATATTAGTTAGCAAAACAAAAGTAGCAGATTATATTACTGATCTTGTTCTGTAAAATAATTGTTGTGACTATTCTTTACGTTTTTATAACTATACATCTGGAAGTTTCTATAAAAGCCATTTTGTGTGTTGCTGTCTGAAATGGGTGTCGGCAGTTACTGAAAGGAAAATAATATTTGATACACTGTTTAGATATTTTATTTGGCTAAGTACTTAAAAACTGAAGTTGACCTTGGCTTTAACAAAAAAAAGACAATTAATGCAGGTAACAAGACAAACTAACATTATTACTTCCATTAAAAACTTAAAATATTATAATAAGTCATTACTGAAAAAAAGTAATATTAAAGTAATGAGTTACTTAAATAATGTGTTACCCCCAACTCTGATAACAACATGCCAGAAAATGAATATGGCTTATTGGTTGTTACTGACGAATACAGATGACAGAGGATTAATGCTGAATGGGATATCCAAGTTCTTTCCAAGCATGTTTAATTGGTATGAGATTCAATGATGATTATGCTAACCAAAGAAGATGAATGAAATCAAAGTTCTGTTCTCTGAATCAATTTTAAACAAAACAAACTTACTAGACTTTACTATTGTCTTTAAAAAGCCTTTATTCTTAAGGGTGAAAATGCAGCAATGTAGGGTAGAAATGTTTAGGAACAACACTGAGGTACATTCTGGATGATAATTGGCCTTCTAAAAGAATCAAAGCACCCAAACTTTCAAACAAGAATATTCCTCAACAATAAACTACCTTGTATTGTTTAAACAACATAAGCAGGTTCAAGTCTCATGTGATTTTCGTTTATACTTTTTACTCTACAACCAGTGAAAAAAACAAAGTGGAATTATCAGACCACATCATAAGATTACTCATTGTCCTACTATGGGCACTAAGCAACACCAAAGCTATGCTTTCCTGTTCACATCAGAAGTAACAGGTTTTTTTAATATCCTTTGCATGGTATGGTTGGAGATAGTTAACTCCTGTTTTGGAACACAGTTTGTCATGTTTTCCATCTTATATGTCTGTCTTGAAAACAAACTAAGGAAAAGGAAAAAAATGCTCTTGGTAACAAATGTAACAATTTATAAAGTGTAAGCAAGATATATAAAATAATATTTATATATTCTTACTTTACTTATAGTAGCCATTTTATTAGAAATACAGCTAAATAATTTCATAATTACCAATTATGTTTTATGTTTCTTTGTGGCAAAATTTTCCTTCACTTTAGAGCAAGCATGAACTAAAATTAAATGAACACTTGAAAAACAACTTTGTGCTTTACATGTGACTTAACTTGCATGAAATGCTTGCTTTGTTTCTTGAATTTCATTCGAAGCTACTCAAGATCCACTTACATTAACCATCCCTAATTCTGAAGATACAGACTAAATGAAAGGTAGCTAGTCAACACCTCACATTGTCATTTCTTGAGTTATGCTTTAGCAATAAATTGTGAATTGGATATCACATTATAATGACCCTATGGCTGAAAGGACGAGCATGATCAGTGACTGGATGCATGAAAAGTAGTAGATCTATTTCAGTTTAAAGTCAATATTTTTTATATGAAACACACACACACACACACATATATATATAGAGAGAGAGAGAGAGACATACATACATATCCACACAGTAATGGAAATATCATGGAAACAAGTGATAGACATACAGGAGTCACAATCAGAAAGTAATGTTAATTCATTCACAATTTATAAATGGTACAAAACATTATCAAAAAAATATAAAGTATTAATGCATTGGACAATTTATTCACTTTTTTTATGTAAGCTTTAGACAGAACATTATGCACTGTTTTCAAGCAGCTATGAAGTTTGTTAATGCATGACTGTGGAATATTGTTTCAAATGTCTTTATTAATTACCACAATTCAGCCAAGTTGTTTCATTATCTTTTGACCTTCTCAGTTTTAAACAAGCCCATAGATCCTCAAGAATGTTCATATCAGAACAACTTTGTGCAAGCCAAGCCATGGTAATGAGTGTTCAATCAGTTTCCTTGTGATCAGCATATAGTTTCGTACACTTTTCATATCCTTGGGATATCTTGATGGAAGACAAATCTCTGCCCATTGAATCAAGTTCCTGAAGAAATGGCATGGTAGATATGAATTTGCCTGATTTGTCAGCAATTAGGGTGTCATAAATTTTGTGTAGATCACCAACACTGTTGATGAAGATTCAATTTCAAACTTGAGCTAATTACCCATCATGCTTCACTGTAGCCATTGTATATTAGTTATGATACTCTGTCATCTCACTATGAAGGAGCAATAGCTTGGCCATCTATCCATTTAAATGACTGAAATAATAAATACAAATGGTGCCATCTGTTGTGCTGAAATAGAACAAGAAGTGAATGCCAGAAGTTGTGATTGAAATGACATGTAGCGCCATCTATTGAATGGCACCATAAACAAACATCAAAAAACTTTCACACTTTGAGTATTCATGATTCAGAGAATAAAAAATAACTATGGTATGTTTAACAACAGAAAGCAATTAAGTAAAAGTACTCTCCTCACAACAAGAACACAACTTTCACTGGGACTGTACGTGAGGGTTTGATTATATCTTTATTGATGTACTTAATAAATGTAGTACAAAAAATTGGAGTTCTTAAAAAAGCTATTATTTTTTTTTAAATGTTATTAATAAAAAACATTAAAATTTATATCAGTAACATTTATGAAAATTTTGTACATTGAATCATTTTGATGCAATGAGTTGTGTATGACTAAAGAGCACAATCTGAACACTTTTCCCATGCAGTACTTCCCAGAAAAACAACAACTTTTTTTTAGAAAATGTTCACCTTTTTACAATTTCTTACAATGAGGTATGATTACTAATTACAAGCACAAACAGCCACCTGTAGGGCACATACAGCCACCCAAGGAGCAACTTTTCTGAAAAATGGCATAGAACAATAGATGAAAATGAGAAATAAAGACCTACATAGAATAGATGTTGAGGAATGGTCAGAAAAGTGTAGGTAAAGTTAACTATCAAATATAAAATAATAGTAGAAATTATTTCATTGAAAACAGGGTGGTATTTATTTACATGACGGTAAGTATAATATATCCGCAGATTCCAGAATAAGTTATGCAGACATTAAATTGAACATGGACAAAGAAAGAAATCAAAGTGAACAGGTAAAAAGAAATCTTTAATCAGAGTAACATCTGGGGTCTTCACTAAAGCTGACTGGCTTCCATGTTTGGTATTAAGAAATTTCTATTATCTGTTGGAACAGAAAGGAGTTTCTAGATGCTTCTGTACAAGACAGAGGCAGGTTCATGAAGAATGGTATACCACACAAGTTAGAACAAAAGTTCTTCTTCAAATAAACATTTTAGAACACAAAATTTATATCAGGGAATATGATACTATATCCTTAACTCATACCAACTTGTCTACTTGTCTTTCACTCCTCAACTTGTGCAACCTGTACTCTGCAAAGTGATTACAAGGAAACATAATCAACCAAGAAGAATCCACAGTGAAAATTCATTGGCCGAGACAGAGGATTAGTTAAGTTTAAGACTCTTAACATTTTACATTCCAAAATATCAAGAGTTAACTAGTTACATGTAAAGGATGTGGCTGAAGCTTTTTTTTTTAAAACTACCCTATTAAAACTAGGGT